AAAAAAAGAATTAGAGAAGCATAGTCTTAGAGCCTTTTTGCACGATTGGTGTTGGTGTGTGTGTATGTATGTGTATGAACCCACAGGGTGCACATATAAATATATATATATCTACAGAGAGAGAGAAAAGAAAAAGAGAGAGAGAGAGAGAATAGTACTATATTTGTATGTGAAAGCCATGCAACTACATTATTGGTTTGATTCAAAAGTACCGTACCTTTGTTCATGGGAGAACTATTCTCCACCTCATGCTAGAGTGTTTTGGGAGAAACCTAAACTTGAACTGGGAGAGGAGGTGGCATCAACAGCTGCTATCCTTGGGCAGTTGCCATGTGCCCAGCAACCTGGCAGGGCCTACTACTGAGACATGCCCTGATCCCTCTCCTTTAAAAAAAAAAATCTGGCTTGACACTCCAAACAGTGCCAGATGGTTGGATCTTGCCACCCAATGCCCCTGCTCCAGTGCCAGGGCAACTGGGAAATGGCACCAAGACTACACTTTTAATGGAATGCTTTTTTTGGGGGGGGGGCTGATTTTTATCTTTTCTCCATTAATAGACAAATTATGAACATTTATAAGAACTGGACATTTATACAAAATGGTCGTAATTTTATGGACAGCTTGATTACTCTTTAAGAATAACTTTTTATGTGTGTTTACTTATGCTTTTGTAAGTACTTTGGACTGTATTTGTTCTAATTTTTTGAAGCTGCCTTATGTCTCAGTATTTGAGGGAAGGGGAAGGTTTAAAAAATGTGAACACAGTTAAATGAGTTTCCAGTTACTGTTATCACTCTTGTCATGGGAATCTGAAGCAGAAGATGGTGGGTGTATCAGTTGTATAATCAGTTTAATCAAAATGAGAGAAGATCCTGGGTGCCTGGCTCTCTGCATAGCTACAATTTGGTGACTAGAGCCTAGCAACTGGAAATATTTTCCCATTTCTCTGTGAATTATAATGTATGGAGTTCTGTTAAAAACACTTAAATCTTGAGGAAGGGACTTGCAAAGCCACCCCAAACATTTCTTGCCAAAGAAAATCATATGAAATTTATAGGGACACCATAAGTTGACAGGTGACTTGAAGGTGCGTGCGCATGAACACACACACACACACACTTAAGCATAGTGGCTAAGAAAACAGTGGCATGTGAACTTGATCATTGGCTGAAGTGTCATCCCAGCCATGAATTCCAAGGGGCCACTGTTTCTTTAAAGTTGGCACCGATGTGGTCCCAATGTGCAATGTGGAAATAAGTACTTACCTGCCATACAAAGTTAATTCAGAAGGGATACTAAACTATAGCTTAAAATCACAGGATAGGGATCTCTTGAGATTTATGCACAAGAATGCTTCCCTGTTCATGCTTGAGAACAGCAGTAAGAAGGAGAGTAGGAGCATGAAACATAAACTTCCTTGGGTCCTCTCACACCACACACTTACGGTGCTATAATACCACTTTAACTGTTGTGGTTGCATTCTATGTAATCCTAGGATTTGCAGTTTAGGGAAGGATATTTAGATTTCTAAGAGGCCTAAAATACCCTGAGAGCACCAGAGTGCATCTGTTCTTGGAAGCTAAGATGGGTCAACTCTGCTTTGTACTTGGATGGGGGATCCACCAAGGAATACCACTCCTTTCCTAAGGAAACCTGCCAAAATTCATGGGGTCCCATTGAAGGCACATATGACACACATCGAGAATTCTCAGCCAGGGAGCTATGCTGGTGCATGTGGCCAAACGACAAACCCCAAGATACCATACAATATTACAGTGGCAGTTAATGTGGAATATAGTGCTATAATTGTGTCATGCGAAAGGGGCTCTGATTTAAATTAATCTACATCAAATTCAGGCCAAAGTTCTTTTATTATGAAATACAGTGTATTGAAACAAACCATGTTAATACTGTAATTTCTCATCTTGGCTTGTTGCAGTAAACCCTACTTTAACCAAGG